TGAACCCCCCAGAGTAGTTTTTCATACTTCCTTCCTAGATCTCTTCTGATATTGCTTGTTTCTGGAAGAGAAGAAATGAGTGCTAGAAACTGGCAAAGTTACAGAGAGACCTTGATTATTTCTGTATTTAATGCTTGGCAAAACAAACTGCCTTAGTTAAGGAGCCAACCTTTTTATTGATTGTCATATTTCTAATTCAGTGTCCAAAATGATCTATGGGCCAGTTGGTGGTTAAGGTGACTGTATCTTACATGACCAACTGCATGGTTTAAGTCCCTTGAAAAACACACAGGGCACACATACGCATGCATGCCCATCCCAAAAGGATAATGGAAGAGAAAGAATTACAGGTTAGTCATCTTCCTGGGGGCTGCTTTCTCTCTCTCTGGCAAGCGTATATGTCCTATAGCAAATGAATAAACAAATAAAACAATAATAATAAATAAAGCCATTTCTAGTGGTTAAGGGAGCTGGATCCCATTTAGCCTACCATAGTTCAAATCTTGGCCCTTGGGGATTTAAAAACATGTTGGTGTGTACATGAATGCCCAAGAGCCCAACAGGAAGGAGAAATGGAGGAAAGGGGATTGTGGCATGACTATGCCTCACTGGGCGATATTTTCTATCCCTCCCCTGGTCTCTTTATCTCTCTTTGGTGAGCAAATATGTCCTCTGGCCATTATAGATGAATGAATGAATGAAACTACAGTAAAATGTTCTTAACTCAATCTGTATTTTGTAGGAACTTTACGAACATATGAATAGCTCCTTGGGAGGAACTTCATTAGAAGGATCACAAGTATATCTTGGTAAATAACTTAATTACAAGTCAGAAGAGATGCTCATATTTCTCAGTTTGGCAGATTGAGTACAGTGTAAAACTTTATGGTCAGAATTATATCTCTGTGTAGATCTAAATTCTTCAACATTCAATGCTTCTTCTTAAATATCATCTTAACTAGTTTGTATACAGAGAAAGGTTATTGTAACATACTAGTAACTATGTTTGCAACTAGTATTATATAAGGTGAATTTCTGCTTTCCAGAATAGTAAATTTTTTTTCTTTTTCTTACATGAGAGGGTACTCATTTTAATGCCTAGTAGAACAAACTGTCTCAATTAAGGAACCAGCCTTTAAATTTAGAAATAATTAAGGTACTGAAAGATCCTTATCAGGATTTAAAAAAAAGTTTTAATCCACATAGTATGTTTATTTCTCATTTTAGCATAAAGTATCAGATTGTGGAAGTTTACTGTTGCAGTCCTTTGTGTAATATAAGTTCCTATTCTGAATACATATTTTTTTCTCAATATTTTCTGTTGTAATGTCTGAGGCAGATGACTAGAGAAGATAGTGGTTCAGATATAATAACATATGGAGTGCAGTGACAAAAAGCCACATTTAAACAGATGACTGCCATGGTGTACAATAAGCTTTATAATTTCTAAACTTCTGTAGTTTATAGAATTGGGGGAAGGAGGTATTAAGATCTATACTGTCCAAAACAGCTCATAGCCTCATATAATCATATACACTTAGATTTAAATTAGTAAAAATTATATTTGGAAGTTTGTTTGTCAGTCACACTTGCCACATTTCATTTCAAGTGCTCAGTAGACCTATGTGGCTAACTGCATTTTGCAGAGCAGGTTTAAAACATTTCCATCCTTACAAAAAGTTCTGTTGGATAGCACTGTTTCTGAGAGTATATATACTTAATCAACTATTACATAAATATTTGAATTCCTACTTTTTTTTTTAACCTTTCTTTCCTTTGAGAGAAAAATAAACTTTCTTTATCAAATACAGTAGATCATAGTCACAAATTTGCTTTTTTTGTTAACATTTTAGGTCTGTCTCCTCGAGATCTTGTCCTTCATTTTCGACACAAGGTATGATACTTCGTTTAATTATGATTTACTAAAATGGTGGATGCTATTTCTATTTTGTTGATTTAACTGGCAAATGCAGTATGCTACATTGTATGCAGGTTGTGGCATAACTATGTTTTAGTTCTTCTAAAATGGTACTTGGTCTCATATCTACAAAATTGAAGTGTTGGTCATGTTGGTCATGTTTATATCATAAAAATTTCTTTTTATTTTTTCTTATTTTTAGTCATAGAGTACATGCCCTTGGCAGAGATAGAGGGAAAGTGATAAATCATTCCCCAGGGAGGTTGGCCATGCCAGAATTCCTTCTTCTCCAGTCTCCACTAGGGATTTTGGGCATGTGTGCAATTGCTCTCAGCATTATTTTCAAGCCACCTGATCTGAGACTGAAACCACGGTCAGTCATTTAGAAGTCCAGAGCCTTAATCACCACACCATCTGCTGGCCTGTATCAGAGAAATTTCCAAGAGTACAAATATTGCCTATATATTTCCTTACACAGAATACTTTTTTCTTTTGTCTTTGTAATTTAAGTTATCATTAGATTAGAGATGAAAGAAATATATCTTTGATCTTGTAGAATATTTTATATGTTACCCTGAGAATGGGACACTTTTCAGTAAAATATTTATATTTATGCCTTCTGATCTTTACTTAATCTTTTTAATTCATGATAGAGCATGCATGTATGTGAGAGTAAAACAGAGGTAAATGAGCACCCTCTGCAGTCTGGTCATGCCACAATCTCCCTCTCTCTCCTTTAGTTCTCTAACCTGTCAGTTCTTGAGCACTTCAGTGAATTGCTGGCGTGTTTCAGGGCCACCAGGCTGGGAACTCAAACCCTGGTCACCATGTGGGATCTGCCTTTTTCTTGAGTAGCACATTACCCTGGGCCACAGAGCCAGCCCATGATCTTTATTATTAAAGCATATGTTTTAATAACCAGGACATACACATATGCACCATTTATTTAACAACCATTTACTGACCACCTGCTAGATATCCACCATCCTAGACATCCAGAAATAAATAAATAATCACATTACTCCTTTGGAAAAAAAAAAATATATTTTGGTTAGATTTAAGGGATATTTATTAGAGGACACAGGTAATAAGTCATGTATTGCTTCCTGATGGGGATACATTCTGAGAAATGCATCATTAGGCGATTTCATCCTTGTGTGAACATCGTAGAGTTTACTTTACTTACACGAACCTAGTATATATAGCCTACTGCATACCTAAGGTATATGGAATAGACTTACATAAACCTGGTGTATGCAGCTTGCTAAAAACCTAAACTATATGGAAAACTTTTATAATATTATGAGACCCCTGTCATAATGTAGTCCATCATTAACTGAAACGCTGTGCATTGTATATGGTACATGCCCATACATAATTTCTCAGTATGCATTCCTAATTTTTCATGTATTTATTTAGAGCACTATAATTGTTCACTATTATTACTTAAGTGATAAGTGGTTATGTTTGAAGAAGGAGTCTCTCCTTTTAATACAGCATTTCTTTTTTTTTAAATCGCAGATCTTAATCCTATTTAAACTAATTCTTCTTGAAAAAAAGGTGAGATTTGAAGGGATGAAAGAAAGTTTGGAATATTTAGCTCTAATTGACATATCTTACATATTACACAAAATTGAAACCAAAGTATTAGGACAATTGTGGTGAGCTAAAGAACATGTTTTGGTTCACTGCTATAGATGTATAAATTTGTGTAGTTTTCTTGAGGCAGTAGACAGTATAATTATTAGGATGGTTTCACTGTGGATAGCAAGAAATCCAATTTTATTGTTATTATTTTTTAACTACAGAGCAAAGAAGTGTATCATATTTACTAATATAAAGAAAGATTTTTCTACTTTGATATTGCTTTAAAATTTATGCCTTCACCTTGGTCAAATTCACCTTTGGGCAAATTCACCTTTCTGAATTTAATAGAGTTCTGTTTTTTTTTTTTTTTTTTTTTAAATAGATTTTTGCTATAGGTCTCATGTGCTCACCAGAGAGATAGAAGGCTAGAAATCAACCCCCAGGGGGCATGGCCATGCCACAATCCCTTCCCTATTCTCCTCCCAGGATCTTGGGTATCCCTTCTCCATTCTCCCAAGATCTTGGGCATGTACACACACATGCCTGGCATGATTTTCAAGCTGCTGGATCCAGGAGTCGAACTGCAGTTGGCCATGTAAGAGTCCACTGACATAATCAAAGTCATCTGCTGGTCCGCTATTTTTTATTTTATTATTATTAGTAGTATTTTATTTTTTTTCCGAGAGAAATTTTTGCTATAAGGTGCCTGTACTTGCCAGAGAGTTTCTGTTTGTTTGTTTTTGGTTATTATTATTATTATTTTTTTAAAGTTTTTGCCATAGGTCACATGAGCTCAGAGAGACCAAGGGAAAGTGAGAAACCATTCCTCAGGGGGAACGGCCACACTGCAATCCCTTCTTCGCCATTCTCCTCTTAGGATTTTTGGCGCACACATATACGTGCCCAGCATGTCTGAGACTTGAACTGCAGTCAGCCGCGTGGGAGTCTAGCACCAGAACCATTATGCCACCTGCTGGCTCCAGAGTTCTATTTGATTTAAGTCACAGATGAGGCTATTAATAAAGTTCTATATGGGTACTCTTTTTTTTTTTTTTTTTT